TTCCAACCCCCCGCCGGACCCTCCCAAACTATACTATTTTATAAATAATTTTACGTTATTTTAATAAAGCTGAACTTTATATATATTATTGAGAGAACTATTAAACTGAGTTTCCTAAATTGCCAGACAGTTTTCTTGGTTCGACAACGATCAGAGCAAGTTATAATACTGTTACGAGCAATATGTGAAAAAATGGAGCATCTTAAAATAACGAATTCGGTATGAAATTGTATACACCGTTGTTACCCAATATACGGTTTCAATGAGTCTGGTAGGATAAGGAACCAAGAAAACTGTCTGGCAATTTAGGAAACTCAGTTTAATAGTTCTCTCAATAATATATATAAGGTTCAGCTTTATTAAAATGACGTAAGTTTATTTATAAAATAGTATAGTTTAGGGGGGTTCGGCGGGGGGTTGGAACCACACTAAGGGTCTGGCAACGAGCAGAGCAAGTTATAATACTGTTACGAGCAATATGTGAAAAAATGGAGCATCTTAAAATAACGAATTTGATATGAAATTGTATACACCGTTGTTACCCAATATACGGTTTCAATGAGTCTGGTATGATAAGGAACCAAGAAAACTGTCTGGCAATTTAGGAAACTCAGTTTGAGAGAACTCTCAATAATATATATAAATTTCAGCTTTATTAAAATGACGTAAGTTTATTTCTAAAATAGTATAGTTTAGGGGGGTCCGGCGGGGGGTTGGAACCACACTACGTGTCTGGCAATGAGCAGCGCAAGTTCTAATAGTGCTACGAACAATATATGAAAATATGGAGTTTCTTAAAATAACGAATTTGGTATGATTTTTTTTACACCTTTGTTACCTGGTACCTGCCAAAGGAACCACGATCCAGGTTTCATATTTGGGGATCGTTCTTACCTGTGTTGGGGACACACATACAAGAACTTTCACGTTTATTAAAATGACGTATGTCTGGCAGTCGTGGGCTCTTGCTCTATTAAGACCTTTGTACAAAATAGAGTAGTTGAGATAAACGGGTGACTCATCGTGGTTGCACGTTGCCGGCAAGCAAAACCCGGCCGATTTGTTATCGCGCGGGGTACATCTCGATTAGGGTTCATTCCCGGGAATTCTCGGTTCGAGAATTCCCGGGAAATTCATGGGTTTTGTTCCCGGGAAATCAAGCTCGAGAAAAGTCGAGAACTCGAGAAATCATGTACCTATATAGAAATTTAATTGCCCTTTGTTTTATTGCGTGGCGGCGCAATATTTTAAGATATTAACGTTTTTGTTTTCTTTCATGTTATTTTTTTATTTTGTAGAAACTATTTTTGTTTATGTAGTTTTTTTTTTCTAAATAAGCAGCCAAAAATGGTGCTGTCATTATAAATATAAGGTCCTAAAAAATCGAAATTGGCGTTTTGTAAGGGAATAACCTGAAGTATTTTTTTCAAAACATAATATATTTATTTAATGAAAGTATGTACCATTTCTATTTATGCACTTTTGCATTTTGTTTTTACACTTTGGACTGCCCATCGGAATTTAATATTATCCCTTGCAAGAAGTTATTCAAAATTTCTAAAAAAAGGTAATCTGTTGGAGCAAGGTCCGGCAAGTTCGGTGGTTGTCTTAGACATTCCAATTGAATCTCTTCTAATTTGGTAACTGTCTGTTGTGCAGTATGTGGTCAAGCGTTCTTGGCGATTGACCAGCCTCCGTTGTTTAGCAGCTAGCTTTTCCATCATGGTTTCTCAATTGCTGACAATACACATTTGCCGTAATCATCTGGCCAGATTTAAGAAAGCCGAAGTGAAGAACGCCGGAAATAGTCCACCAAACGTTCACAAGTAACATTTTTTGAGCCAATTTTCGCTTGGGGCAGTATTTGGTTGGTTCGCCAGGGTTTAGCCATTGCAATGAGCGTTTCCAATTATCGTATTAGATCCACTTTCCATCACAGGAAATGATTTGATTTAAAATCCCTTCAATATTATGCCGGTTTATTAATGTAACGCAGCAGGCTACGCGCGTTTGTCGATGTACTCCACTGAATTCATGAGGGACCCACTTTTCAAGCTTTTTCACCTTCCCAATTTGCTAAAGGATTAAAACAGTATTGTCACGAACACCGCAGCCTGTAGCTAACTCGGACGGGTTTGCGATGGATCCGCTTCCACAATAGCCTTTAATTCTTCATTACCTTGGATTCCGGCCGCCCATGGAAATTGTTTTGCAGGTCGAAATTTCCAGAACGAAAACGTTGGAACTAAAAATGCACGTGTTTGCTTTTGCGAGACCACTGCCATAGACATCATTAATACTTCGAGCCGTTTAGCACCGTGTAGCACTGGAGCCACAGCGGAACTCGTACTCGTAAATAACGCGATACTTTAAGTTTTTTCATTTTGTATGCTGTGAGTGACCCAAAGTGTAAAATAGCTGTATAAATTTGGAAATGGAATTCCTAACCAAAGAGGAGATATTTGAGATCAAAGTGGTCAGTACGACAAAACGCCAATTTCATATGTAAGGACCTAATATTATTACTCTCTTTTAAAAAAAAATAATTTATTCATAATATTAATGTTTTTAAATATACTCAATAAAAGTTATATTTAATACTTTTATTTGAGAGGAAAACCACTGAATTTTTGGACGTTATTGGAACCAAATAATATGAGAAAACGTACGTAAATGTAAATTTCTCGACAACCCGAGAAGACCCGAGAAATTGACCTCGAGAATTCTCGAGACCCGAGAAATTGAAAAGCTCGAGAAATCATGAACCCTAATCTCGATGTATTACATCATCGATGTGTTCTGATATGTGGTGGACCGGACCGGTTTTTTTGCGGGAATCTAATTTACAATGTAATTTATATAGTATTTGTGATACATGTGATGATTTGCCGGAATTAAGACATAATAAAATAACACTAGTTAGTCAAACACAGTCGTATTGTTTTCCTTTTGAGCGTTTTTCTAATTATAATCGTTTATTACGTACCACAGCGTATATTTTGCGTTTCGTTAATAATTGTCGTAATAAAATAAAAACAACATATTTTAGGTTCATTAACAGTTAATGAACTGAATAGTTCATCTAGAAATTTGACACGTATTGCACAACAACAATCGTTTACGGAGTTGTATAGTGATTTAAAAAATAATCGTCCCCTAAAATGTACACGCAATATTTCCAGTTTAAACGTAATTTTAGATGAATATGATTTGATTAGAGTAGGTGGCCGATTAACAAATTCTGAATCATTTTCATATAACAAAAAACATCCGTTGTTGTTATGCTCGAAACATAAGTTTACTCGGCTTATTTTTCATCACCAGCATCAAGTTCTTCTCCATGCAGGGCCGCAATTATTATTAGCCACAATTAGAGAGAGTTGGTGGCCACTTAGAGGTCGCGATCTCGCTAGACAAGTAGTTCACTCTTGTGTTAAATGCGTACGAATGAAAGCTAAATCTTTACAAGTGCAAATGGGTAACTTACCTGTAGAAAGAATAGAACCACATTATCCGTTTATTCGTTGCGGTGTAGATTATGCTGGGCCGTTATTTATTTTGAACCGCAAAGGAAGAGGTGCAAAATTAGAAAAATGTTACATCTGTTTGTTCGTATGTTTTGTTACACGCGCTATACATTTAGAGTTGGTCACAAGTCTCAGTTCTGAAGCGTACTTACTGGCTTTGAAAAGGTTTATCTCGCGACGTGGGAAACCTTCAGAAATCTTTTCAGATAACGGGAAGAATTTTATAGGGGCTGCAAAAGAATTCACAAAGTTCTTACTTGATAGTGAACAAGATATTGTCAATTTCACTACTAATAATTCAATTAAATTTTCATTTATTCCCCCTTATTCGCCTCATTTCGGGGGGCTTTGGGAATCAGGAATTCGAAATAGCAAATTTCATCTTCGTCGTGTTGCGGGCAATGCTAATCTAACTTACGAGGAATTGAGTACATTATTGGCACAAATAGAAGCTGTCCTCAACTCTCGTCCTATGTCACCTTTATCCACAGACCCTAATGACCTGCTCCCTCTTACTCCTGCTCATTTCCTGATCGGCCGTCCGCTCACAGCGCCTGCCTGTCAAGACATATCTCACATGGCTACTCAGCGGCTTCCTCGCTATGATCGCATCGAGCACATGCGGCAGACTTTCTGGAACCGCTGGTGCAAGGAATACATTTCGGAGCTTCAGAAGAGAACTAAATGGCAGACAAATACTTCCAAATACTCTAGTTCTAATAAAGGAAGATAATCTGCCTCCATTGAAATGGCGTTTGGGACGAGTATTAAAAACACACACAGGCAAGGATGCCATTACACGCGTTGCCACCATTCGAACAGCGACCGGCGAGATTCAACGAGCTTTTCCACGAATATGTCCACTACCTCTACTCAATGAAGAGGACCGTTCCAGCTGATGTCAAGCAGGCTGCGACTACAGGTTCCTGTTAGAAACTGGGTGTTTCTAAGGCCGGCGGCATGTCTACGCATCAATCAATCAATCGTTAATTAATCGGCCAATCGCGGGTAACCTGCGAATGAGCAAGAGGCGGGGACTCGCGGATGGATGGGTGACCGTTGAGTCATTCCGATTCGACATTCCGATACGACAATCCGATTCGACGTCACGTAGCCTATTTTATTTTCCATAATTTAAAATATCAATGTAATACTTCTATTAGCATAATAAATTAATTTATAACATTAAAAAAATACAAAATTCATTGAAGAGCACATAAAATTCCTGTGGAAAACCTGACCAGAGCAAACATCACAAACACTTATAATCCGTCACTATACAGAATTTACGATCTGATAAGAACTTTTATAGGATCTCTAGTCCAAGTTACCGGCTTCAATATACTGGGTCTTAAAAGCGGGGTTGTCCATAGTTTTCTAAACGTCTCTTCCGACATAATGGACCAAGAGGCTCCCGAGTCCAATTCCATTGATAATTGAGCACCGTTTATATAGCTCTAGCTCCCTCGGCAACTAGTTGCATACGTCTTGGCTTCTTATCACATGCTGTTGCAATATGCCAGAATTTCTTGCAATAGAAGCATTTTGCTTTCCAGAACGGACAGCGTTCCCCTGGCTTTTGACTGCATGTACATCGTCAACATTAATTGGATTCTACAATACCAATATCCATAGGTTCGGTTTCGGTAAAATAATATACATAAATATAAATTGACCTTTTTTAACATAATAACAACAACGCTGGGAATTCTATTGTTGGCGCTACTAATAGCCTGCCCTGCTTAGTATGGGACTAGATAGCACTGTTTTATTTGACCTATATTAAAATTATTAGAATAACAACATACACATTCACAGACACACAGACAGAGACTTTATCAACTGTCGATATTGTGGTGAACACAACACTAGACATGTCCACATTTCACTGCTATATAGGTATATTTGAATCCAACCTGACATGGGTAGTCGTGGTCTATGTCGTAATATTATTCATTCAATTTAGTAAGTATTAATGCAAACACAACTCACCATGGTAAACTGCGCCGGGCTTGGGGATCGTGGTGATGTTATTTCATTTTTGGGAGTAGCTGGAGTCAATAATTGCTCAGGAACATTACTGCCCTCGACTGCAATGAAATTGAATGCCTGAGTTGAATTCTCCCAACTCGAGTTAATTCGAATTCAGCACAAGTCAACTCGAGTTGACACATCTCTAGGTCGCAATACTGCAGGTCCAAGCATCTGACGATAGCCCAAACCACCAAATAAAAAGAATCATAATGTCCGTAGGGAAGATTGGATGAATTTGATGTGAAGTCCGGGAAATGATCGGCATATTGTGAAAAGATATATTTTTTTGTACACTCTTTCGCGTGTTCCATTTGCCGTGGTTCGTCTATACTTTCTTTCAACATTTTATATTGTAATTTCACAGATTTCAAAAAGGCGCGATGCAAACATGATTAAAAGACACAAATGTACGAGCCGACGACGTCATGATGTGCACACATAGATGATGTGTCATCTTTTTAGTACGAGAATGCGCAAGTTAGAATGGAAAACTTACAGAAACTTACATTATTTTATTCAACAACTCCAAAAATTCCTTTTTGTATGTAATCGCTATAAAACCTATGATGAACACTATGAGTAGAAAAAGATATAGGCACTGTTTACCATTAGGACACATTTTAATATCTAACACAATTTATTTTATACAATAACGACGATAACGAAGAATGTATCGGAACACCAATATTAATATCATAGATGACGTATAATTCAAAGAAGTTCTGAGAACAACTAATCATGAAATAAACACGTTATCGGCGTATGCGCAAATAATGTTGCCAACAAGACTACTAAAAAATATGCTAAATTATTCTCAATATTATGCTAAATGTCATAAAATTAAGCTAAAAAAATATACTAACATCTTCCAATGTCAAATAAAATGTAATTTAATTGTAATATAAATAAGTCGAAACAAAAAATAAATCATTCATAACCTTATAAACAAGCTTTTTTTTTAATAAAATGTTTTACAAGTCTTTTTTAGTCCAACTTAAAGTTTTACAATATAAATTACAAACATTTGTTACTTTTGTTCAGTCTTGCTAGCTTGTCCATTTTTATTCTCCCATCAGTTATTTGGTATTGGTAAATTGAAAACTAATTAAATGGCACGTTTCAGTTTTCCGGTTAACGACTTTATATGTCGAAAATGGATAAAAGCAACTGGAGGAACGAATTGGACTGCTAATAAAACATCGAGGATTTGTAGCCGACATTTTGAACAAAATGTGTTAGTTAAGAAGAAGAAGCTTACTGTTTTTCTTCCGACTGCTGTACCAACAATGGTATAGAATACACATACTATATTTTTTATTATTTATGTACTTACTAAACACTTAAATGAGGGAGGGTACCTTATTTCTAAAATAACTGATTTATGAGCTCATTATTTCCAGGTCAATGTTGACCCTGTTGCATCCAACTCTACTATGGTACTAATTGATACACAGCACAGCGAAACTGTAACATTAGTAGATGCTGCCATTTCAGAGATTAGCCAGAACAAACGGACAGACAGACAAACAATTTTTTTTAAATATGTTATTTTGGTATATGTACCGTATTTATATTCATATGCATGTAGTAAAAAACAGTTATTTCAATATTACAAACAGACACTCCAATTTTATTTATATGTATAGATGTACAGATTAGCAACATTAATCTATTCTCAATTTGAGCACAGACTCTAACAATGAATAAAAGAGTATATATGCGTGTGTATGACATATACATGGTAGTGTGTAGTATAATGTTCATTCCTAGTGATTACATATATTTTTATGCATAATTTAAAAACCATAGCAGAATTCTAAACTCTTTCTCTATATATATATATATATATATATATATATATAGAAACAACATATATATATATACATACATATATATATATATATCTATATATAAACTGTAAGTGTGTGAAATTTCATACTCCACCGTACGTGCATTTTTCGTAAAAAGGGATACAAAGTTTTTGTTTCATGTATTAATATAAAGATAATTGAGTTCCATTCCTACTGCCTACTTGATGATACAGCTTTCCTAATGAGCGGTAGATTAAAATAATGATAATTATGATTACTCAAAAGTTCCCTTTTTTTAAGCTTAAATTAAATTAAGTTGAAGTGATGTGTAAGTGCAACTTTGAGATAGAGGACTTAACCATAATTTTTATAACCATGAATAGTACCTTAATATTTTTTATATTTTAGGGTAAATCATCAGACTACACACCTCGGACATTAAAAAGAGAAAGGAAGAAAGCGCAAGATCCCAGTAGTGTCTTAAAAAGTTAAAAGCGCTTCGAGAAAAATCTAGAAGTTTAATAAAAAAAGTAGTCAATTTGGAAAACATATGGGCGGAATTACAATCGAAATTATTAATCCAGTCTGAAGATTGTGAATTGTTAACGACAATTGATTCAACGAACAAAGTCTTCCTAAAAAATGTTATGCTTCTCTGATACGTATAAAATAATTTTGATTACCATGTTTTTACTTATTACTTTGTGGGATACAATTACTTAAGTGAATAGATACATTTAAAAATAAGATCACTCATTTTTTTGGTCAGTTCCTCTATACTTTAAAATACGTCCTGCTTATCCTGCTGCTGGATTACATCAGCAGAGGGCGCTACAACCGTGTTCCCGTGAGGAACGAATGTTTGCATAGTGATTCATAAAAAGACTTGCTATACCTAAGAGATACTAAAACTAGGTAATTTAGGTCACTAAAATTTCGTAATTACGCAGTAGATCGTTTAGGAACTTTTTTTAATTACAAACATCTGGAATATCATTTTTAGTAACGCACGAAATATATAACCTTCCACTTTTTTAAGGTCAAGCAAAAATATTATTTGCTAAGGAACGCGGGAAATTAATTGGCAATATTTTAGTTCTAATGTTATATCCTGGGCAATTCTGGAATAAAATTGATTTTAGAGTGGGCAAGCCTAAATATTCAAATGCTTGTATCCAGAGTTGTAAAAAACATTAATAAAAAAAACAACATTTGTCATTTATTATTTGGACATTGACTTTAATTTTTGTGATTTATATTGCAAACCTTTAAAACTATGTTGCCAACACAACTAATTTGCTAAAATTTTGAAAAATTACGACAATTGTTACAATGTAATATATACCAACATATTTAGCGTCAAATAAAGCGTCATTTAATTATAAATCTTTAATAATCAATTGCAATTAAATTTATTTTCTGTTATAAACAATTATAATCAAACAAAATATATGTCTTGGTCCTTAGCCGATCTTTCAAACCAGTCAAATGCTATAAGGCTAGTGAACAAATTTGCTTACTGGTGAAGTAATGTAGTAATTTTAGGGTATAATGGGACCGGCATGTAGTATCAAAAATCGCAAAATTTGGAAAGAAATAAAATGAAAATATCTTGGTCTTCCTAGACAGATGTTGTTGATCGACAGATTCCCAACAATGACAAAGATAATCTTAATTATGGTTTCGAAACAGGATAAAAATTACCCTGACAAGAGCTTGTACCCTTCATACCAACTTACAAGTGTGATAGGATAAAATTTTGTCACTGGAACTATTTCAGATCGATTATAGCATAGTTAATTTTTTATTAATTACCTAATTATAATTATATGTTTAAAACTATTCTATATTATAAAGAACAAATAAATATGCTGAACAACGTAAAAATATGCTAGATGTGACTTAAAATGTGCTAAATTGGCAACACTGACTATTACGTCAAATTGTACTTTTGTTACCAAAAATTGGGGAAAGATGGCGCTGTACTTAAAATATATATGGTTAGTCGTAATGGTACATCAAAACGAAAATCAGTTGAGTAAACATTCAAACAACTTTTTCAAAAAATAAATATATAAAAGTGAAAATAATTATTAAAAGTCAGCTGTGCATACAATTAGTTCCTTACACATTCTGTAGATGTTGGTTATCTACGCAAAACTACGTATAACGTGGTATTACTATGTAATTTTCTGTGGTAACATTATCTGTTGTATTATTCATTCAGTAAAAATGTGACAAATATATATAATTTAATGACTATTTTAATCATTATATTCTACAATAGTTTGTAGGTTTAATAAGTATTGTCTGTAAATGTAAAAATTTTTATTTTTTATTTGTATATTAGAGCGGCCTCGTACTTGCGTGACATGATTCAATATTTGATTACAGATATGTACATTAGTATTACCACAGATAACATTATATTACATAGTATTACTCAGGTTTAAAATGGGAAGATAATATAGGTATGTTGTTCAAATAATCTGCTTAGAGTAAGCGCAAGCCGATATGTAGGTAATATATATGTTTTATTTAATATCGCGAAATTGCTCTGCGGCAGTGCGGTAAGTCGTGCTAGTCTAATAGCTCTGTGTAACGAACTTGTGGACAACGAACTCCTTGTGTTTATGCAGCAGAAGCTGGACGTAATGGACGAAGCAAGTGCAGTGCAAATAATATTTACGACGACGTCGGGAAGGCGAATGTTCTGCTCTTAAATACTTTATATGTAGATACTTAATAAATAATGTCTCGCAGACGTGACGGGCAGAGAAGATTTAAAAAAACTTCCTCTAGTAACATTCGATCCCTTCGAGGTACCCAGCCTATTCAAGGGCATCGTGTCCTTAAAAAAGAGTTCAGCCGACGCTACGTTTCAAAGCGTCAGAGCAAATAATTAATAAGTAACGTAAGGAAGTGGACAGTTTGCGCGACTCACGGATAGAATCTAGGTTACTTAATGACGCTATGAACATAAACACGTGTCGTAGGTCATGCCGCGATGTTTTCTTACCAATAATAATAATAATTTCTTTGTTGTGCATAAAAAACAAAAAAGTGCTTAATATGCTAACAAAAAGCGGCCTTATCACTCAAAGCAAGCTCTTACAAACAACCTGGGAAATAGAAGTTTTGAATAAGAGAAGGTAGGTGGCACACTATAAAATTAGAGTTACATTTTCAAATATTAATATGAATACAATTTAAATGTTATCATTACGTAATGTGTATGTTAGTCTATAATAATATGGGCCAGAAGTCCGTATCACCGTTTAACATGAATTTCGTTAAACAAGTTTGTTTTAGAATAACACATACGGAACTAAAAAACTAGATTGTCAATAAAAAAGGCCCTATCTTTCTTATGAAAACCAAACAGTATAAAAAATTGTATTAATATGCAATACATTGGAATATAATAAATATGAAATTAAATTAAAATTATATAATATTATATAATAATAATGAAATTTCAAAATAAAAAAATATATACCTCTATATTTACTGTAATAGTAGAGTGAGCTGAGTATAGCGGAATGTAAATATTTTCCGCAAAATGTTGATTGAAAGTATTGCTATCGCGCTTAGGTTAGGGGAAACGTAAGTCTCTAAATAGAGATAGAACGAATACTGAAAAATACATATACATAGTAATTTTATTGCGTGGACACACTCTTCTTAAAGAAGACGACAAAAGTCTACCACCAGATTCCCTAAAATCACCGGACGAGGTTATCCAATACATCCAATGAAATTAAATTACTTATTTGCGATATTTTTCATTACTATATCTAAGAGTATTGGGATTCTCGGTATCAACATCTCTAGGACAGTTAAGTAGTCATCTCGAAGAAGGTCAGGCTGGCATCCAAATGCTTAATAGATCGAAGTGGTACTTCACTACGGACCTGAGACTTCTTTTCTATAAGTCACAAATTCGCCAGCATATGGAGTATTGCTCTCATCTTTAAGCACCTGGATACCAGCTCGGTCGTTTTGACTTGATTCAGAGACATGCTATCAGAATTATCGATAACCCCGATCTCTCAAGCGGTAACAAACCGATTAGCTTGAAGCGAGTCTTTGCATCACTTTGTGTTTTCTACCAAATATACAACGGACTGTGCTCTGAAGAATTGTTCGACATGATGCCCACGGCTATCTTTTACCATCGCACCGCTCAGTATCTACAGTGAATTTATCCCCACATGCTGGAGCCTAAGTGGTCTCGGACAGTGCCGTTTTAGACGAGATTCCTCCCACGTACACTCAGCTTGTGAAATGAACTACCTGTTGAGGTTTTTTCGAGAGACTAGAGCATGGAGTTTACGAGATTGAAGTGCATTAAGGTCTCTTAAGGGTCAGCAACGTGCACGTGCACCCCTGATCTTTAAGGCGTCTATAGGCTATGGTCGTCTACCACCCGATGCTTGTTTGTTACCACCGTGGTATAATATACATATATGTATATTGCTACGGTAAGTTACTAAGAGAAAAAGACATTACTTGGTCAGCAATATTATTGGGCATATAAATTAAAAATCGTAAAAGTATTCATCACGCAATGCAACAAAATGACGGACGGTAAGGACAGTGATAAAAAATTATGACATCCATAAAAGGCCGAAAGATCCAATATGAATATAATTATTAATTAATTACAAAAATTGCTGCATAAAATTTTAACAGTGTATCTACAGAGTATCTACTAGCCGTGAGAAGCTGGAGCGGTCCACTAGTGACATATTTTAACAGTGCACAATAATTGAGACCTTGTCATCTTACCTGGAGGTTTCCATGGCGATTTTGGAGTTGGAGAAGATAAATCAACCGGTTCGCCAACTTCCGTTGAGATATCCTTGATTAACTCCAACAGAGTGTGTCCTGGAGTCACGGGCATTTCTATTGGAGAGGCACCTCTGGAACCTTCTGAAATAATTTTTTTTTTCGATAATTGTCTTAATAACAAAATGTGTAGCCCCCGGTTGTACTAATGTGTAGCCCAAATTCTATTTTAATACAGCAACACTGCAACGTTGGGATTTCAGCTGGCCAGAGATAATATGTTAATCGTTATAACTTTCATATTCAAATTCGCTAACGATCGCATAAGTATATCAATCACACATCAAATTATGCTATTTTCAATTAAATAAAAAACTGACCTGGAATCTCTGACTTTAATTCCACAATCAAGATCATCGTCTCACTAAAAGGCGTAAACACTTCCTTTTATGTAACTCCTTTGTCATTCCAGGAGACTAAAACTTCATGCCTACCCTGTAATTGCACTATAAAGCCTTACATATATCCTACAAAGTAAGATGTACTCGTATCTACTCAGACAATTTTGTGCAACGTATTTTATATTTTAATAATTATTATTTTATAGTCTTTTTTCTTCGGACTACTCTAACGCTGTTGGCCGCAGCTGGTCTTTACAGCTTCACCTGACGTTAGGGGGCGAGTGCAGATGGCACTCCAAACCCGCGGAAGGACTTATGGAGCGGCTGAAGGCCAACTCCTGCCTGACGGATACGACTTTAGTCTGAGGGCACCACTAGGGGTTCGAACCTCGGCTCAGGCCGCCGTCATTTTGATCCCCGTTTGAATTGGACGGGGGATCGATCGGAGGGGCGCCCGGGGGCGCAGTAAAAAAATAGAACCTATATTTTTTTAAGTTAGTGAAATGTTGAAAAGGAGACGCCGTGTTGTTATGAATGCATAGACAAGGATTACCGCTTGCTATTAGGTGCTCAGGTCAGGTCAGCTTGGTTATTATATATGCCATTATAGTTACGTAAAAAATATTAGGAATGGGTTTTGTTTGAGCTTCGCCTCACTTCTCTTCTATCATTAAATACTTTAGGTCTTTTTCATACATATAAGGTAGATATATATTACCATTTACCATTGCAAGGACGACCTAGGCCAGAGGGATAGAACTAGAAGTTATACTAGGATGGTTACCTGGTAGTGGTGATCGCAAAACCAACTTCCTGGCTTCATCCATAGCACGCTGTAAGTTCTGCTGATTTTTAAAAGATTCCCGGCTGCGACATCTACCGATTTGACTCCTGTGGGAAATACATCAAGATAATAATTTATTATATATAATACAATGTAGGGACCGATCATTGGGAACTCTTTTTGAAGCACTTTTCTGTGATATTTATAACCTTTATAAAAAACATTTATATATACATGATTTACATGTTTTTCAAATCATTGTTTTCCTGAGTCATGACTGCGGTTACATAAAAAAATAAAAACAAAACAAGCTATATCATCGTATATTCATGATTATGAGAGGCGACCAGTCCGCTAATCCAGTCTGATATAATAACTACTATCGTCCTGCCAGCTGTAAATACTATTTATATATGTAGATATATAATATTTTGGCGTTTGTGGCCCGTGATCCCACCTTCATGAAGGAGGACTACTGGCCGAAGGTTGTGGTGTATCGGCGCTACCGTGGCAGATTACCATTATCAGTGCCGTGATCACACGACAATTTATATTTATTTTTCTATTAATTGTATTATTCATATGTATGTTAGTCTGTAAGGTATTTATAATATATATATATATATATATTTATTTTATTCAGGCTACTAATGAGTAGCCTGAATAAAATAAATAAAAAAAGATATTTACTGCTGGTCATAAAGTATCAATTGACGGTCATAAGGAACGGTCTATTCTGCCTTCCTACACTGCTGCTTTATCATAATCTTGACAAGATAGTCACTATATGAGCTCTACTTTTTATATGACATTTACAAACGTAACTTTGGAAGTGTCGCATCGTTTAATAATACAAAATGCACAGCCTTCACTAATATTACGAGAGATATGAAATTTCGTGACATTTATTAAGACAGAACACAGAAGTTACTGTACAATCAAAAGAAAATAAGGGCATGTCAGTTTTAAATATGCATAAATGAATATATAAAACTTCCAGTGATTCTGATTATAGGAACAACAATTTTTACAATAAAAATGAGTAGTTATTTAAAAAAAAAACAAGTAAATAAATTTATCTTCTTAATCTCAATCTCTATATGCTCAAATATACTCGTAGATTGAATCATTGATAGGTACGCCATAGCACAAAACAACAGACCGTAAAGAATGTACCAGTTGAGTTTAAAAACTTAAAGTTCTTAATAGCAGAATTGTACAGTAATTATGATATAAAAAATCATACATAATTGGCCGAAAGTATCATATGTTGTCGGTGTCGCTATTTAGTTGTAAATAAATTTTATTTGCATAAGTAATTCACCATCACTTTAATTTTATTTCTTTATTTAATTCAGGCCGCATGACCCACATTAAAAATACCTTATAGACTAACATACGTCTCAAATAATAATAAAATATAAAGGTAAATTTTCTGTGATCACGGCACTAACAACGGCACTAACAACGGCCTTTAATTATAAGACCCACATATTGTAAAACTGTAAATATAATTTGATATCGACCAATTTGGGTTTACATAGTACATAATTAATGTAAAATATCACACACATAGGAGTTTAATATAGTACATAGTTAATGTAATATATCACTTATTAACTATGTACATCAGTTTTCGAATTGAAAACCTATTTGTGATCCTTAATAAATAAATAAAAAATTATAAACTAATAATAATAACCAATTTTGTGTTCGGGTTTGAAATAAAGAACACAAAATAATGACAAAGAGATCATATGTACATTAAAGTACACGTTTGATTTATATTATGGAACCTTTTACAGTTCCTCTGAAAATCGTAAGTGTTGTGGATAAAACATAATGCAGAGTGACATCTAACAATTAATAATATCAGATATTATTATTAATTACTGTAAATGTTTTTCTTTGTTTTTAATAATAGTTTACAACCGTTGCAAGCTCAGCTCCAGTCTGCCTGTGACCGGTATGCCATGTAACAGCTCAAGAAAACGAATGTGGCAATGTTAATATATCCATTACTTACAAAGTTATGAGCACTTTCGAATTCACTACTGTATTAAAATACTTACGATACTCCAGTGCCGGCGAGAGTCTGGTCCCATTTCGCGTTGGTTGTATTAGCGACGGCCAATTTGGCGATCCTTCTGAACTTGGCCAGACCGTCTTCATCAGCCGGTCTGTCTTCATCATCGATAGCTACCGGTGCGACGTGGAAGTCCTTCATCAGTCGCCTCTCCCATACTTTCATACGTTTGCCGAGTACCACTGAGGGAAAATAAATTTATTCGTCAATAGCTTTAATTGGACTGGCAAACTGACGGCCCATCTGATGATAAGTGGTAACCGTCGCTTATATATAGTACTTAAATGATACCGCGAATATCACGTTATCATGTGGTACCCGTGATATCTCATGCATTACCATTCCAGAGTACTAAGATATCATGCATCTTATCCCGTAATTTCACTGTCTCATCTGCACCCTATAAACAAAACGCGGCTTAACAATATAGTGTAGTATATGGCTATGATGACTAACAGATAGAAAGGGGGCGAAATGGAATTGTTAGTAATGTGGACTTACGAACCCATTACTAGCAATGTACCATGTCAGGTTGACCTCCACGCGGTTCCCCCTGGAAACCATCGTCATAAATTTCTTGATAAATTTGTCACGATGGGCTAACTGACCTGACCTCATGCACATCTTATCTTTCTCCACTGGTGCCCCGCCAGCGTAAACTGTTAGCGCAGGCGGGTGCACCATTCCATTATCATCCACAAAAAAAAAATAGATAGTAATTATGTCTATTCAAATGAACTTAATATAAGCACATTTAAATAGTAATACTCATTCAGACTCATCACAAGAAGAACAAACAAGAAACGTGTATGTTGCTCTTTTAAATAAAAGTTGTCTAAGTAACTTTAAATAAAGATGTATTGTAAGTAAATACGGATTAACAAAGGCATAAATATATACCTACGATCCGTTGTGAGCACTACTGATTCATACTGATTTTATTGACTTCTTTACTATAATGGTACATGTATGAGATAGGTACTTTTTGGTCACCTCGGTTCTAAATAATGCATAATACATTTTTTAATTTACTTTTCAATACTAATTGCTCAAATTCTAATTTTGTTGTAATACATCTTAATAATTGTATGTTTTTGGAACACAATACCCTATTGTTCTTTCCTTAATAATTAATAACTCTCAGTTACACAAATTTACTCTATATGTTATTTACTCACTCTTCTCTTTTCTGTCAGTGAAAGAGACGTCCATTCCATTCTTCTCGAAAACTTCGAGAAGTTCATATCTGAGCGCTGATACGTCGCCTTTCAGTTCATTGACATCGTCTTCTGTGACCGGCTCATCATCCATTCTCCTGTGCATTGCGGACACATACCGCCAAACAAGAGCTCTCATGACAGCTGTGTAACGGACATCATTCTCTTTCTCCTTCTGCTCCTGTTAACAAAATGTGTTCATTGACCCAATTTTATTTTACTTAAGTTTTACATTGAGTAATTTTACAGTAAGCAATTCTTAGGTAGTTAAAATTCAAAGCAGGTTAATTATGGACCCTGTTGGACACAGCAAACAGAAGAGAAGACAAGAAGACGCGTTCATTGGTGTATATGCAATTATAATATTGTGTATAAAAAAATCTAATCTCTTAATTATTTAAAAATTTTGATTAAGTATATATTTAATTAGTAAATATATCGAATATTTAAATAAGTATGTCAGTTTGCTATTAGTAATTAATATATTTCGACGGCTTTGTGGTCTAGCGGTCTATTTAGCATACCGCATTACTTCCGATGGTCGCAGATTCGATTCCTCGCACGGCACAAACATTCGTATTCATGAATACATGTATCACTTCAGAGTCAGACAACGTGTCAATACTGTTGCTAAGGCATCGTAAAACAGTACTACTTGAAAAAATGATGGTTTATAATACTTTTTATTTTTAGCATTGTGCCTAATACGGTCCAAAATAATATACCTATACAAACAGATGCAGAAGAGTAAACAGTAGTAATAATAAATCCAATATTCTATTAAAATTAATATTAATAACTAAACTAATAATCAATCTAAGGACAATAATATCTGAGGACAGTAAGTCTAAGTACTAGCTCTGAGTCGGAGCTTGTATTATGGCTACTATGTAGACAACACATAGGACTCATATTTAAATGCATTTTTTGTAAATACATACGTAATATACATAGTATACACCCAGACCAATACAGTCATACCCATGAATGCATATTCTTCTGTGTGAGGAATCGAACCCATGATCATTTCTTTACTTCCGTAAAGAAGTGTGCTAAACCGCTAGACCAACGACGCCGTCAAATTATATACAACTAGCTGACCCGTGCGACTTCGTCTGCATCACACTTATCATTATGTATCGTCCAATTTACATAATATCTTTTTAAATTATAGCCCATGTGTTATTCTACTGTGTAAGTTTTTGCGTGAAAGAGTAACAAACATCCATCTATACTCACAAACTTTCGCTTTAATAATATTATAATATTAGTAAGAAATCTTACTAATATTATACAAACCTTTGTCTTCATTTTCCTGACTTTGTCCTTCTTTCTCAGGCCCAACATTTTTAGCAGCAACTTGGGAGTGGGGAAGATATTGAAGGGTGGCGGTAATGTCGCGCTCTCCTCAAAGTAACTCATCCAAAGTCGAGTTCTTGCAAATTTCCACTCCACGTCTGAGTGTTCCTAAAAAGAATGATTAATCCAGGAAAAATTGAATTTAAACATGAAGTGACCAGTTTTGACGCAATACAAAAAGATAAGTCTGCAAATACGTGAATAATAATGTTCAAAAAGAAATAAGTGACGGGAAAGGCATGAAAAAATTAAAAATGGATTGCAAAACGCTTTTTTCAAAATAACTCGATAACGGCAAGAAATATGAAAAAATGTTTTAAATAAAAGTTGTAGAGAATATAAATCTTCACAAAACAGGTCCTTTAAATTTTTTCATTATCTGCTGTTGTTTAGCAAGAAAATTTAAAAAACATTATAACTAAAACTAACAAATGAACGATATGTTTCTCAATATTCATATATTTTTATATATTGAGCCAAAACTGGTCACGTCATTTTTGATTTAAAATTTTACTGGTCGCGATATCTGGTACAACACAATGTGTTAGACTCTACGCGATGGTTTTTTTGTCTTATAAAATAATAGCAAATCACCCCAGCTTCGTACGGGTATACATGTATTATACATAAAAGCTTCCTCTAGAATCACGGTAAATAGAAAGAAAGAGAAGAAGAAGGTTTTTTTTAATAGATAGACTATTAAAAAATCGCTTCTAAATCCATTGCGTAGTTTTAAAGATTTAAGCATACAGAGAGACACACAGCGACAACGAATTTGTTTTATACTATAATTGAGGGTTTCATCAGCAAAATATGCCACCCCTATCGGTGCATACATAATATCTAAACCACAGATAATATAATATTACATAATCTAAACTATGGTAGATTTCGTACTTTAAGACCTACTTTGACTACATTAATAATTTTGGTTGCATCTTCAGTTAAAGGGTTGTTTAAAATACGGGATCAATTCGCATCTAATCAAGGGATCAACACACGATGTTGTATAAAATCAAAATCAATGTAGGGGTAGTATCATCCTAAATCCTGGTACAATTTTGTTTTTTTTAGAATTCGGTACGATCACATTTTCACACATTTTGTATAAATTTTGATGGTCAAAATACGATGATGTATGTATGCATGTGGCGAAGAATTCGAACCTCGACTCTGACCGTCGTAATTTCGATCCTTGTTTGATTAGTACAGTGAATCGATCGGAGGGATGCCTCATGCAGTAACAAAGTTATCAGAGTGAAATTAATCTATTTTACCCAGCATTATGATATTTAATAACATGATAACATCAATATTTTTTATTAAAAAGTGTATAAAAATAGATATTTAACGAAATTAATCGTTTTCATCATGTATAAATATTGTACATCTTTCTTAATTAAGTAGTAACGTACGTACGCTTTGTTAAATCATAATTTAATCCCGCGATAAATAGAACGAGACTCGAAAGTAAATGATACAATTTCCTCACATATACACAGAATATTTCCGTCACATGACAGCTTTTCAGACAATTTGAGTAAAAAACTTAATAAGTACTCTACATACAAGTCCTAAACAAGATAGACGTACATACAGTTTTTTTATATGCAAAAAAACCTCTAAGTAATATGTTCGGTCATAGGTACTGTTTATTTCCCAGGGATCGAACGCGACCATCGTTAACATTCTGACTTTTTAGTACCTAATATATACCTGTCATTTTAGGTTATTAAAAATAGAAAAAGTGTTTCCACTTTAGTAACTTTATTATTCTTTTCACGCTTAAATTATTACTACGTTATACTTTGTATTACAATTTAATGAAATCATACAAAATACAATTAAAATTTCGCGTGCTTTTTCTTCTATAGAAGTACTCTATTGAGTAGGTATATTTAATAACTTTAAATAACGTACAATATTGATATATTACTAAATGCCAACCGTATATGCCTAAGGATATTATGTGTCGCATTATAAAAAATATTACTTAATCAAGATAAGAAATAACATAGTATTACTTACATCGATCATGGCATAAGAATTGGACATCATAGCGATAAGCAGGTTCAATAATACTATGACATTGATCACGGAGTATGACCCGAACATCAGCAGACCCCAAAACCGAGTATAACTCTTGATGCCAGCCAACTCGAAGTTCTCCAGCCCAACCATGCCGAATGAGGCCCAGAAGAGTGACTGCGATGCTTCGAAGACACTAGTCAAAACGTAACAATATAACTAACATTGTGACTTTATGCAATTTTATATTACCTCCCAAACGACCGACCGATTTTTATGAAATTTTATACGCACATTCAATAGGTCTGAGAAACGGCTACTATCTATTTTTCATACTCCTAAGTTATAAGGGTTGTCCAGTCCTAATATATTTTTTATTTTTTGGAAATAAAAAATATATTAGGACTGGACAACCCTTATAACTTAGGAGTATGAAAAATAGATAGTTGTAGTAGATTGAAAATAATATATATATATATATATTATTTTTTTATAGCATTAAAAAATATGTACAACACAAAATTTTCACCCTTCCCTCACCAATCCCTAACACAACGTTTGTTTGGAGAGCTGTTGTATATACATATATCTACAACCACGGCGAAATGTGGGTTTGTCAACTGATTCATTACCCTGACAATAGACAGACAATACCTCTGACTACGTCATCTGGAATAATAGCTGTAATAACAGATATATATTCAACGTGGACACGCTTACCATAATTTATGATTCTAAATACAATTGAACCAACGACCATCGGAAGTAAGGCGATGTACTAAACATAGTCATATTACTAATAATTAGACGATATTTATACTACAATTTTATTTAGTAAATAGTATACAATTCGTACATACAATATTTTTTATAAACATAGAAAATAAACAAACATTAATAAGCATGATAGTCCATTGTTTCTCTCAATGTCATACAGTCTACTTCGTCAATCTTGAGTGTATTTATTTTTACATTTATATCTTCTTCCAGCTGAATTTGTGTTTGCAATAAATAACGCAAGGATGATGTAGCCTCATGCAGCATTTGTTGAAGTTGCTCAGTACTATGGCGGAGCATCTCACATTCATAATATAGTGCCTGACCTGGTGGGTCACGAACCAACTCTGCACCCACTCTCTGTGCTCTTCTACCGAGTCGGGTATGCGCCAATGCTACATTGCCTTCTTTATCAGATAGCGCCTTCTGAAGTTGCAAAATATTGTTCTGCATATCAGCAATCTTCTGAGTCGTTTCTCTATGCATATCTTCCAGCTTTCCTTTAGCTATTTTTGTTTCCTTAATTCTCTCAGTAAAAGCATGGTTGCATTTTTTATAAGCCACCCATAAGTCATCAATTACCTGCTTTAACAACGTATCCACAAACATACGAATAGGTCGCGCACTTGTGACTTCTTTGGCAGCAAGTTTAATGTTACTGGCTGAATAGGCATTATACTCTTCAGCAGATATATTGGATGGATCCAAGTTTGCATATCCTTCATACACCGAGAGACACAAATCAGTCGGCTTTAGAGAAAGTGAAGCCTTGTCTAAATCAATAGCTGCTTGTTTATATTGTAGATCTCGATCGAGCAAATAACGAGTAGCTCGTAAGCGTCTCATCTGCTCATTCAGTTGTTCCAAAACACGTTTTAGAAGACTTTGACCACCAAGTATTGTAGTAATTTCTTGCTGTAGGGCATGCTCTACCTCGTCCACTACTAAATCTATGCCAATACGTCCATCTCGTAACATTAAACACTTTCTACATATAGTAAGAGCATTTGATTGTAACGAAGAAAGACAGTCCATTAGGCGAGTTTTGTAGACACCGAGTGCTTCTAATTCAATACAAATTTCTTTTCTTTGTAATTGTAGTTCCTTCTTGTTGAATTCTATGTCCCCGATACGTTCTTCTATGCGTCTATCTGAGGTTGCTTTCATGATCTGTGATCTCTCCGCCGTTTCCTCTCGAACTCTTTGGCATTCTCCCAGCACTCTGTCGGCTAATTGTTGTTGGTCTTCTGTATTTCGACATCTCTGATCGTTACTCAATTTCCACTCTGAAATAGTAAACTTTGTAGATCTTGGGGGCATGCACACTAATGCCTGTTCGGATAATCTGGTAGTAGCAATTGGAGCTCCAATTATATGTCTCACACCAAACTGAGCTTCCCCCATATTTATGGTTATTTTATTTAACTAAATAAATTAAAAATGAAACATCAAAAATAGCACATTGCGAATAAAAAGATATAAATTGACATAACTGTTGCTATGATATAAACAGTTGATATGGTAACAATATTTAGTTATTGACCACACTGGGAGAATTATTAAGCTTGTGTCACTAGGAATACAAAATTATATATATACTTTATTGCACTTTTTTCATTAATAAATAAAGACAATTATACAAAATGTGAGCAAAGGCGGGCAAATCATGTACGAATCTGTGTCACAATATTTTATCAGTAGGTACCTACGCCATATTTACAAGCAAATATTTATCAATTTTTAAGGTTTTGTTGGCATAAGCAAGCATTATGTACATACTTTATAATTCTAAATTTACTATTGAGATATCTCGAAAATGACAGGCTTGTTGATAAGGTAGATAAAATAAACGTAGCTAGGCAACGGTGTTGCCGCGCACTCTGTAGATTCGTCACGATGTTATAATAAGCTTATGTAAGGTAACATTAATTAATGTAAACATTACAAAGAGTTTTTTTTGCATTTTGAATAGACTGAATCTCAGGACTACCATCAAGTATCCATCTATATAATTATCACATTTATTGGAATAAATAATTTACTAATTTCATATGTCAAATTCCATTTTGTTTCAATTGTCATAGAGGCCTACACTTATAAAACGTAGTGTTAATTGCTTTATGGGACTATATTAGCCGACAGATGTTATTCTCTTTTGATTATGAATATCAAGTCAAAAAGTTTCCTGAAATTATCAAGTTTTTCAACATTTGTTGAAGGTCCTAACAACAAGTTTCTTAGTGTTAGAAAACTTTATTTTTAATGAAATCGGTTATGTTCTAGTTAAACGTGTCGTGACTAAGACAAATAGGCATTTCTACATTCACGTACAAATGTTATAATGACAATGCTTTTTGTTTCCATTTCCGTAACGTATCACGAGATTAGCTTTTCAGAGTGAATGTATTTCGTTATGGGTTACGTCGAACGAAATCGCGGTAATAATACCGCCATTTTACATTTTTATTAGCTCTTAAATTTTACGTATTCTCTTAAAACGCTTAGTGGATCTGCTGCGTTGCATGTATACCAAATAATAAAACATTAATATAGATAGCTACATTCTTAAAAAACAATGGGCTCTTTTATTTAATACTCATTGGTTATGAAATAACATATTTGCAAAATATTGGTACAGTAGATATTATGTTACATGATACACTCGTATTATTGATCAGTAATATACGAGTATACCATACAGGCATTATGTGAAAGTATTCGTTTTACTCAAATATTCTTGGACACTGTAAAATTGCATTGTGTTCACATTTTTTTAAATTCGGGGCTTTCAGGAATTTAATTTTATTAATAGTCATACATTTTTATATTAATCCCTTCTTTTTTTATATGTATTTAATATTACAATAACAACTTATCCATTTTAATGGCTAGTAGAACAGATCAACTTTCTAGATCTAGATTAATAAAATCACTTTATAATATATGTAATAGTTCCACATAATGTTAGTATTCTAAAATGTGTGGATGGCAATTTCAACAACATCGCCTTCATTCCGAAGATGAATGACTATGGAATCAACAATTATAAGATTACTATACATAAATTATTAAAATGAAGTTTATTTCAACGAAGATTATTTTTATTATATTCTAGAACTTACTTGCCAAAACTCCTCCATTTCATACAAGAATCACCGGCGTTGTCCCAATCGGGTAAACCTCCGGGTAGCACGTAACATTTCTTCTTCTCTAAATCAGCAAAATACCACAGCAGTTGATTGAGACCTGGGAAAATTTTAAATTGTATAAAACTCTATAGACCTTTTCCATGAAAACGTGAAACTACTCGTGAAAACGTGGTTGTTGTGGAACTGTTCTGGAAACTAATTATTTTTCTAAAGATCTTAGATTGCACCTTTTTATATTCTTAATTTATATACTAGCAACTTATTAAATATTTTGGGTGCAATAAAAGAATTGTGACTTTGTTATTATAGATTCATTTTGAATAGGAGGCAGTGTGTGCGCGTTGAACACTGCAATAGTAATTTCGATTTTGCTTCCTACGGGATTTTCCGCAGGGCAGTACCTTGGGACCTACATTGTTTTTAATATATGTTAATGATTTGTTAAAAATGTACATTCTCGGTGCTAACATACAGATGTTTGCAGACGATACGGTTGTTCTTTTTTATGGCTCTAACTGGAATAATATAGGTAACATCAGGAACTAACACAGCCTGGCTAGAAGATAAGTTACTCATGTTAAATACTAGTAAAACGAAATATCTCTGCTTTGCAAAACAAACAAGGGCTCACCAGGGGATTTACGATTAAGACTACATTCTTTACCGTGTAATCGCTCTAGTCCTAACGCAAACAAATCAAGTGATTGTACTATAGGTACTTGAAAGATAATGTAATATAAAGTATTTAGGCATAGTCATTGATGACAGATTAAATTGGAAAGAACATATATCCACACTTTCCAAGAGAGTTCGTAAATTTATATATCTATTTAAAGAACTCCTGTCACGCTATTCGCAAACTATATATGTATATATATATATATCAATGTGTATATATAGTTTGCGAATATATATCAACTATATATATAATCATGCCTTAGGCAGTATTTGTATAATTATAGTAATCAGTGGTTAACGTAGTGGGTGACACATTTGTTAAAATTTATTAGTAAATAGCCATAAGTCATATATATAATGTGTAACTGTTTGTTGACCTAAACAAATTAAAAAAAAAAATGTATTCGTAGATACCATGGAAGTGCATCATCTTTATCCAACAATGATTAGAAGACTTCATCGTTTATTGCATTAAGACTTAATTGGCCAAAAGTAAATTTGCACGTCAACAATACCAGTTTCATGCCTCAAGATTATTCAATATGTTTACTCAGGTTGTAAACCCAAAGAGTATGACTCAATATCAAATTAAAAATAGAATTAAACAATGGTGAAATCAGCTACACTACGATGATACGGAAAATGTGATAAAAGTTCAGTGACATACTTCATTAACATCACTAAGTTTAATTTGCACATTCAATTTTGTATTACAAAAAACACACGCATCAAATGCATACACACTACAACATACAATATAGTGCAAAATGTTATGTTTGTTTCAACATTTTTTTTTCTTATAACTTTAATTTTTAAATTTGTATGTTTAGATAAAATATCGTTTATATGTATCATGATATACTTAGTTTTCATCAATCTATAATAAAAGTTCATGTATTGGGAAGGAACTGGCTTCTGTCATACGGATAATGTTAGTTCAGAAGCCGGGACCAAAATCGTTTTTATTTATTTCAGGCTATGACTGCTGATTAAATTGTTTCTTTATGAAGTAACCGTCAGTAAATAAATAATATGATAAATCACTTATTTTCCTTATTTTTTGTAATTCTATACAATATCATTTGAAAATAATAAGAGCTCAGTTTGTAGTCAGTTCTTTTAGTCAAAATTTCATTCCGAATTCGTGGTTGATTTGACTTATTATGTAAGTATCTGTAGTGGATCTATATATATTATGATATCGTTTAATAGTTGTATATTAATTTATTACAGTTAATTATGTTTATAATAATATCCTACATAAACATACGAGTAGGATACTTTGTAATAATATTTAGGAGGAGTACCACGGGGATACAACTAGTATTGAATAATATACTAACCACAAGCAAATGCGAACAGCACCAAGCTGTATATGAAGAAGAACTTGACTATGTCGATGACCATCCTTCCGAGGGAAATCTGCAGAGGTCCCAGGTGAGGGTTGATGGAGAACAGATGTACCAGCTTTAACGCACTGATATAAGAGAAACAATAAGTAAATATCAGCACAACTGTTATCCCAGATGGATCAGTAGAGTAGATCCCAGATAGTCAAAGGCATTATCAGCCTCATTGGTCTAGCGATTTAGCACACGACTTCCGATGGTATCAGGTTCGATTCCTCGCACGGTACAAACATTTATATTCATGAGTATGATTGTTTATATTGAACTTAAGAAAAAAAATGTATTTAAGTAAATCCATCTGTTGTCTAGTATCAATAATACAAGCTCTGCTTATCTTGGGTCTAGATGATGGTGTATGAATTGTCCTGATTTTACTCTTTTCCATCCAAATCTTCTTTGGACTCCTACAAATGTTTTAAAACCAAAATTAGCCGTATTGATCCACCCGTTCTGGAGTTTTAGCAATACTAGCAAACGTCATATCATTTTTATATATATTATTATTATTATACATATATATGTATATAGAAAAAGTAACGCAAACGAAGTCTCACGGGTCAGTAGTATAAAAGAAATTATTAGTAATTAAATAATTATTAATCACCTAAATATATTAGCAGCAGCGAATAACCCTTCAGCAATGAGTTGCGGATCAAATGGATCCCACTGTTCCCGCGGGATAAACTTGGTCTGTGGGTCTTTGCCGATCTCAGATCTCTGTTGGAGGTACGCTGCGAACCGCAACAACGCCACCGCCACGTACAAAGAGTTTCTAGTGAAGTCTATAAAATTCCACATGTTGCGTAGATAAGAACGTATGCCTTCGATAAATATCTCTTGCGTTTCTTCCCAGATGAAGCCTTAAAATGAAACAATTTAATGTTATATTTCAACTATTTACGTATGTATTTATCTTACCATGTTTTTTTAACCCGTTGGTTGTTGAACGGTACAAACATTTGTATTGATGAGTATAATTGCCTTTTTTATATATATTGGGCACATATATTTAGAAAACGCCCAGAATTTTATGTATGGATATCAATTAGTATCCATACTTTATTTAATATCCATAACACAAGCTTTGCTGAATCGAAAATAAGGCGGAGGGTTAAACTGCAAGATCACCGAGATTGTGGAAACAAGTAGGTACAGGCAGTCCTCGACTAACGTCAAACAATGATTTGTGAAATTCCTCTTACGTCAATTGTTTAGATTTGCGGCATAGGAGAATTCACTTGTCGCACGGTCTATGTCCGTGGGGCTGCGGAGCGAGGTACCACGCACATGCTTGTTTAGTTATTTCTTTCAGTTAATTTGGATCCTAACCCTTGTGTTTTACATGTAAACATATGAAAACATATGTCTCGATTTACGTCGCGGCGTCGTTTCGATTTACGTCGCGTATTTCGAGAACCTAATATAACGTAAGTACGAGGGCTACCTGTATTTGCTAAAAATGTTGTAATTACTAACCGAGTACGTAAACAACGACCACCAGCTCTAAATAAGTGGGCCCGTTGCCCCTCTGTTTAAGGAGCTCCTTCTCCAGCTCCTTCACCATCCAATCTGGTCCGAACAGCTGTATTGCCTGCACCTCGGCTCTTTGTGATACCAATATCAAAATCACTGGCAAAATTAAAAAAATTGAATATAAAATTACCACAAAGTGGATTACATTCTGCACTCCTCTATTAGTTAGGAGTTTCCTCCCGCGTACACTTAGATTGTGGAATGAACTTCCGAGAACTTGCCGAGGTTTTCCCACGAGATTACAGCATGGGGATTTTCAAGAAGGGTATATTGAGGGTTTATTCTTAAGGGTCAGCAACGCGCACGTGATACCCTGGTGTTTCAGGCGTTCATAGGCTACGGTAACCATTTGCCATCAGAAGGCCGTGTGCTTGATTGCCACCATCATAGTATAAAAAGAAAGCTGTGCCCGCGGTTTTACTCGCATGATATTTATAACCTGTTGTTGTTCCGATGTTTATGTTATATTAGTTTTACATTACGTGAAAGAGTAACAAACATCCATTCATCCGTCTATCCATCCATACTCACAAACTTTCACGTTTATACATAGTATTAGTAAATACTCAAGTGTGCAAAATTAAACTAAATACTCCTCAATTTTCGTAAAAAGGGAGACGATGTTTTTGCTTCACATAGTAATAAATATAGACTAGCTGTTCCCGCGACTTCGTCCGCGTGGAATTTATTTTTATATATGTTTTTTTTCTAAAATAAAAGTAGCCTAAGTTACTCCTTATTATATCAGCTAACGGCCAAAAAAGTCCCGTCATAATCGGTCCAGCCATTTCAGAGATTATCCGGAACAAACTGACAGACAGACAAAAATTATAAAAATATCATTTTTTACTACATGCATATATTGATATGCATGTAGAAAAAATTATTATTTCAATATTACAAACAGACACTCCAATTTTATTTATATGTAGGTATAGATGTATAGATATACTTACACAAGAAGAACAGATAACTGGACGCGTGTATCAAGAACTTCATGAATGGTTTCCTCATCAGCTTGCCTGTAGCGCAGTTAGGGGCGATCATGTACAATGTGCAGTAGAAGGGGAACAGAAGAGCAACCCGGCAGATGATCATGATTTTCTCCATGGCGGTTTTCCGACGGAACCCTGGGACTCCCTCGTACCAGATCGCAGCCAGCAATTGTTGGATGTTAGGATGTGACACGAACTGCCAAATTATATCATTTATGTATAATAATCTCTTGTCACTGTGTTTGTCGTCGAACTTCTGTGAAAAGACTTCACCTATTTTTTTAAGAATACATCACAAGATGTGACAACAATCTACAATCAAGCTATGATTGTAGATTGTTGTCACATCACTAGATACCGTCGTTGTTGTGAGTAGATGTCGTTATGAGTAAAAATGGTAGGAATGGAATGTGATTGTAACGGCTACGAAATAAAGTAATAATAATAATAGCTGCTCTCCCCGGTTTCCCACGGGTACACAGACCTTCCTCTTAAATCATTCTATTTATTTAAAAAAACTGCTTCAAAATCCGTTGCGTAGTTTTAAAGCTTTAAGCATACATAGGGACGGACAGACAGCGACAGCGACTTTATTTTATACTATGTAATGATTACGCTACGACCAATAGAAGCGAAGCATGAGTGAAAAATGTAAAAACGGGGAAAATTTTGAAAATTCATGTTTGACGGCTTCCGTTGCGTGCGCTGAGAGAACGAAGTCGCGGTAGCTAGTTTATAAATGAAATATAAATAGTTTAATTGAATAAGTAACAACATCATAACACAATTTTTATGAAATATCATCAACAACATCGATGCAAAGTGTCTTTAATTAAAATTACGAATGATTTATCATTAGAAAAATATACATAATGCCTATTAGTGTTCGAATTAACTTTAGCATGACGTAATGTTATGTTATAATCGACAAAAATAGAATACACGTACATTGTTATAACAGTGTAGCTATTATTAAAAATGATAAATAAAGGACTTATCAAGCGGACTGTATTTGTATTAACTAAATGTAAACAAATTATAATTATTAGGTAATTATGAAGTTAACTACTACTCGAACAGTAATTCAAGTCTATCTTTAGAGAAATAAGAAAGTCCCTCGTACGACGTTGTCGCGTCTGATGATATATCCGACAGCATATATCTACTCGGTGTCTAATAGACCATACTGACTATAAGCGGGTTCATGTGAGATTGGGCGGAGTAGAAGTACTGTCGAGACGCTTCCTTTGTAATGGTTATATAAGTCTACAAACCTTTTTTTGTTTAAAATCTATGGCCAGCTCCAATCGCGCTAGCTTCATATGATCTCCTTCAACGAACCCTGGTTCTTCTGGATCATGGTTCAAAATTATGGCCAGCTCCTGAGAACTGCGGGACTGGTCGAGGAGGTCGACAGCAAACTTTTGCGCTTGACGACGCAGCTCCAAGTATTCCGCCTTACTTTCCTGTTGTGAAAATGCATCATTAACTTCCACCATCGCGCTGCTCGCCATTAACAAGGAATTCTTCCACTGACTCTGGAACCTAAATGGTCACAGTCAGTGAGGTTTCAGTGAAATTTTCCGTCACACATACTTACACTGTGGAATGAATTAGCTGTAGAGACTTTCCTTTGATAAAAGCCTTTTTAAAGAACCTCATTCTATAGGAATGAGGTTCTTTAAAAAGGCGTAAAAGACTACGGATTCTGCCGTTATCGAAATGTTTATACGACAACCTTTAAAAAGGGTATTATTTTTAAGCATCCAGAACATCCGGATGTTTAAGGCATCCTTAGGCCTTAAACACAGCCTACGGTTAAACGGTTACCGTACCCTATGTACGGTAACCGTTGGTCGGTGCTTCAAAAGTAAAAAACGAGTGTAATATTTTTATTTAGTTTCTCAAACACTCGCAGTAGAAATGATTTAAACAAAAAAAAACACTAGTTACCTGCTCAGCGAAAGCCAAATTTCTCAGCTCCCATGAGAGTTGAAAAGCTGTAAGTATGGGATCGTTGGAGGAGAGAGCAATAAGAGATGGGGAGGCTAGTGCTCTGTACGCATTAAGACGCGCCAAAGAATGCCGAAGAGAGTCTTCAGTAGATTCACGGATACACTCATCACAACCGCACCTACGAAGAAAATAGCAATAACTTATTTATTTATTTTAGACTACTAGGCCAATATTATTTATACTTTATAGACTAACATACATATGAATTAATAATACAAAACTAATTATGTACTATATTGAAATTTATTGTGGTCACGGTACTGACGACGGCAACCTGCCACGGTAGCGTCGATACACCACCCCCATCGGTCAGTAGTCCTCCTTCATGAAGGTGGGGACTTTTTGAAGCATGTTGGTGGGCACTCGAGCCACAAACGCATAGAAACTCGTATTGTGACTCGATTCCAACTGTGTCACCCAGGTCAAAACCCTAGCGATGCCCTCAGACCAAAGGCAGGAGAGTTTGCTTTCAGCCGCTCCATAAGTTACCTAGTACCTTCGGGAGGTTTGGAATGCCATCTGCACTCGGCCCCTATCATCCAGTGTAGCTGTAAAGGCCAACTGCGACGAATAGCATCAGAGAAGTCCGAAAGAAAAGCACAACCCGCGACTTAACGAACAAGGAGAAACGGAAGAGTTGTGAGCAGGTCGACAAGTGAAAATATCTTTATCCATGATAAGTCTATTACAAATAATTTTGATGAGCATGCCCTCGTCTCAAAATATAATTTGAGCCGAGAAATACTGATAAATTCTCTGGTTTAGTATGAACATGCTAAAAATATAGGCTATATATAATACTAATAGATATATCATATACAGAATTCGCAAAATTAGGATCAGAAATGTTATATGAGTGTAAGTCAATAAAAATTACTTAATTAATAGACGGTAACTTTGTTACAACTGATTGTTGCCTCAAATAGATAACACAGATGTACTAAGGCAAACTTTTTATAAAGTCAACCTTGGTAAAAAAAAAGTTATATGAATATTAACTACACTTTTTCTCTCACCTAACATCATGAGGGTTGGGCAGAGTAGCGCCCCTGTCCAGGAGTATTTTCAGAATCTCATAATTGTTCTTGTGTGCAGCTAACATCAGAGGGGTGATGTCAGGTGTAAACATGGCAGTGTTGGGATCCACTTTCTGCCAACTCTGGTTACACAAATATATTTATTATAGAAAAACTAGCGCTGTACTATATATAAACTTTCTCTTATCTTACTAATATTATAAACCTGAATGTTTGTAAGTATGAATGAATGGACGTTTGTTACTTTTTCACGCAATAACTACTGAACAAATTTTGATTAAACTTTACAATAATATAGCTTATATATCAGAATAACAGATAGGCTATAATTTAAAAAGATATTACGTAAATTGGGCGAATTATAATGATAAATATCAAGTAAGCGTGACGCATACTAAATTGCGCGATTACTCGCGCAATTTCGTCTACATATGTTGTAGACGAAATTGTTGAATTAATTTATAAAAGAAACTAGCTACTAACAAGGTTTCCAAATAATAATAATACTTGCATCTGTATGTATTCCAAATAATATAATTCGACACAATTACTTAAATCGACATTACAAAGTCTTCGGAAAAGAACAAGCTATAGTATAATAACTCCTTCTTTTGGTCTTACCCGAAACTCCGTCCGTACAAACTGTCATCCCTTATTCCATCCCCTTCTATATTACTTTTTAAAAGTAAAGATTACCTACATGTTTAGTCAAGAAAAGGTAATAAACAGACAGACAAAATCGGTATTTTTTATTTCTACCGCCTCACCATCTTTAAAAACAAATACTTACATAAGGCTCCCCTTCCTTATGTATCAGTTCTTCATGCTCCAACAATAGTTCAACAGCTTCAACAAATTCAGCGTTAATGGCTTGCAACAGAGCATCCTTGGTCTCCACACCCATAATGACCAGCAGTTCGACCATCTCCATATTTTCACCATCTATCGCCAGCGTTAGTGCTCCACGACCCAGAGAATCCACGCAGTTCACTTCGATATGTTTTTGGCGGTGTGCTTTCTGCAAAATCCTGTGCAAGAGAAATGTCGGCCCAAATTAAATAGTCAGCGATTGCAAAAAAAGAATCATCGTTATCGGAGCAGACAGCGTGTTCTTTAACATCTAAAAAGTCCCGCTTGACGGATACGACTTTAGTCTGATGGCACCGCTAGGAGTTCGAACCTCCGCTCAGACCGTCGTAATTGCGATCCCGTTGAATTTGTGATACCCGTAGTATATTATATATAGATGACAGTTACTTACATACCTATATATTTTTTGTTACATCTTTGTCTTGTTTAGTGTTCTTTTTTTTATCATTTTATACATAATTGTATTTTCTGATGAGGATAGTGTATCCTCTCACAGAAAATACAATTACAATAGAGTTTCATTCATTAATTCATTCATTTAATTTTAAATGATTTCTTATAATATCTCCTTTTCGATATCCTAAATTATTGGGCTCTGGTTACATCCTATATAAATAGATTCAAATAGTATAACAATATCAAAGGTAAGGTAATACCAATGGCGATGTCTGTCCCCATTAGATAAGTCATTATAATAATGCTTATTATGCGGTCAGTTTATTTAGGATGTGCCAATCTACTATTGCTTTTGGATATATAAGTTCCATTACTAATCTTCTTAACTGAAGGTGCTTATGGATTTATGTAACACTAGCTGTTAACCGCGACTTCGTTTGTTTTTATATATGAGCTATTTAGATAGGTTAACTCCGTCCTCGTATAATGTTCACGTAAATCTAACGGGCACACCATATGTTCCCACCATATGTACACCGCCTTACTTTTGATGGTTCCGGGTTCAATTTTAGCACGGTGTAAACATATGTAATCATGAGTATATTTGTTTGTATTAGTCTAGGTGTTTTCTATGCTTAATTGTATATATGTATAGTATTTACAAAAAAATCATGTTTTTTATTTTTTTGGTAGGTTAGCTTGGAACTAAATAGCGCTGTGTGAATTGTCCTGAGATTAAAAAATACATTAAGTTCATACTTTGTTATTGTCTACTGTTTTTTATAATAACTATATTGTTTTTATATGACACAAGTCAATCCAATATTTTGCGACTATATCGGAATATATATATATTTTTTTTTTTTCTTTGCTCGTCTCCTTCTTTACAAGCGGTAATAAACAGACAGAGAGACGTGACACCGTAAAAGACCACATGCGTTAGTATTCCTCAGTCTATGGTCTCCAACGAATGCGACTTTCTTCTACAAAGTCTACCATTATTGAATAATAATAATCTCAGTACAATTCACATAGCGCCGTCTCGACCCAAGATAAGCTAGCTAAAGCTTGTGTTATGGGTACTGGATAACTGATACAAATACATAAATATTTTTTTTATGAAGACCGACACAAACAATCATACTCATGAATACAAATGTTTGTGCCGTGCGGGGAATCAAACCCGCGACTATCGGAAGTAAAGCGGTATGCTAAACCGCTAGACCAACGAGGCCCTCTGAAATGTGGCTGAAAGTATAATCTACGAGTACTTGATTCTGCATTCAAATAATAATTAAATCAGCACGGTAATGAATATGGTCAACATTGGCAGGACCTTCCAAATTGACTGGTTCAATTCAATTAATATTGCGCAGTAATTAGATTTTACGTTACGTCCAAATCAAATGACCGCTTCGAGTACGGTTTTACTTCTTATTTTAAACTAGCTACCTATCCCGGCATCGCGTGGTGTACATGTTTTATACATATAAACCTTCCTCTTGAAACATGTTTTATACATATAAATCTATTGCAAAAAGGTGCATAAAAATCAGTTGTGTAGTTTAAAAGATATAAGCGAACAGACAGAGGAAGCGAATTCATGTTATACTATGTGAAGACGACATTACATTGTTAAATTATTACATATAACAATGTAGTAATTTTACAATGTAATAATTTAAGACCATACATGTATGTACATGTTCTGGTAATTAAAATATTAATAATAATATACTTTAAAAATTCACACAGCAACATCTGCGTTCCAAGCTAAGCAAATCTTGTGTTATGGATATCAGAGATTTATATGATCTATGGTAAATTCGTTTATAATATATGTAGAAAATACCCAGACCGACACAAACGATCATCCTCAGGAATATAAATGTTTGGTTCCGTGCTGGGACTCTAACCCGCGACCATCGGAAGAAAAGCATTGTCCTAAATCGCTAGACCACCACGGCCATACAGTACTTACCTTCTGACGTTACCCATGTCTCCTCTTTCAACCGCCAAGAGATACTTCTTCTCTTCAAGGGTGAGAGCCTTTGGTAGCGTCGGCAGTTCCATCGGCTTCCGCACGCATTCCAACTCAGGGTTACCCTACAGGTAAAAAACCCAATTTTATACATATACGCATATATATAACGTCACCACTGTTATCCTAGATGAAGCTGAGGAATGCCTCATAACATTTACAATTGACAATGGTCAATTGTAAATATTATGGCGCAACGGTTGATACACCCATATTAAATCTGGAAATATCTTAAATCCACCGTGATATGAAGCGAACCTACCGCAATGTGAAATGGCAAGTGGCAATTGCAAGTGACAATGACAAGTTGCAATGGCAAGTGACAGTGGCAAGTGTCAAATGTAAGTTGTAATAGCAAGTGGCAAGTGGCAATGGCAAGTGCCAATGGCCAGTGGCAATGGCAAAAGAAAGAAAGAAAAACATTTATTGACAACCATTATTGATAAAAATATACATTTACACATCTGTCAACATAAAAATCATGGTCTTATCTCTAAATTGCCATATTTGTACTGTAATTGTAAATAAATATTTTTTTTTTATTATAACTCATTAATTTTGTGGTTTGATATATTTGTTAACTCATCGGAAAGTCTGTCGAAATATAAATTGACAGACAATTTTTTTATATAGCTCAGACTTGAACCTACAACCTCTTGGACATAGTTCAGGATATAATTTATTTATACTGGACGACGCGACGCTCCACTCGTATTAATCCCGCTGATTATCCATCCACCAAAATGACTGTATTTGTTGCCAAATGACTAACGTCAAAGATAACATGTCCGTAGTGCTGTTCATGTATGTAGCCGACGGTACGGTTGAGTGTCTACCAATTGGGTTTGCTTGCCATTATAATTACACTAGCTTACCCGCGTAACTTACCTCACATTTATCATTATAGTTCGCCCAATTTACAATATATCTTTTTAAATTATAAACTATATGTTTTCAATATGTTATAATTATCTTCTGATGTATAAGCTAAACTTTCATCAAAATCTATTCAGTCGTTTTTGCGAAAATGTATAAACATCCATCCATCCATACTCATAAACTTTCGAGTTTATTTTATTAAGTAAGATTAAGATAAAGTAAATAAATAATCCTGGACAATTAACACAGCGCCATCTAGTACGGTAAGCAGGCCTTGTGTTATGGGTACTAGACAACTGAATAAATACTTAGATTGTTTTTTGTAAATATATACATAGCAAAATACTCAGACCGATACAAACAATCATACTCATGAATACAAATGTTTGCACCGTGCGAGGAATCGAACCCGCAACCATTATAAGTAAAGCGGTGTGCTAAACCGCTAGACCACGGACCTTGGAGGCCGTCAAATAAATAAATTTGATAAAGATAAGAGCTACTCACACATTCCAGGTCCTTTTTATCAGCCATGGTGTTGGTGTACAGCGTCGAGGTGAATGGAGCAACATCCGCCACCGTAGGCGATACCTATGACGATTAAAAAAAATAGGCAATATTAATTTTACCACAGAATTAACACATGACAGGTGTAAACACCTCTACAGGGGTAAAGGGGATTGTTAGTAATGTGGATTGATGATCTTATCGCTAACTGACCTGACCTCATGTTCATCTTATTGTCTTCCACTGGTGCCCCGCCAGCGTAAACCGTTAGCGCACGCGGATGCACCATTCCATTATCATAAAAAAAAACCTTCATGCGGTTCCACCTGGAACCTATCGTAATAATATCTAAGTGGTCATTTTGCGACAATGGACAGCGTATACCGTTAGTGCAGACAGCAGCACCATTAAAAAACTAGTCTAATTAGCAGTCAATCAAACGAAACTAATATGTCATATAAAACAAGTGAAATAAATTATAACATTCCTATAGGTACCTACTAATAATAGTACCTATAGGAATAATAATAATCTCAGGATAATTCACACAGCGCCATCTAGTCCCAAGTTCAGCTATCTAAAGCTTGGGTTACGGGTACTAGATAACTGATACAAGTACATAGATTTTTTTTTCGTAAATACATACATATTATACATAGAAAACACCCAGACCGATACAAACAATCATACTTATGAATACAAATGTTTGTGCCGTGCGAAACCGGCCGTGTAGACCGCTAGACCACCGAGGTCGTCATTATCGTCATCAGGAATATTATTAAACTATTAGTAATATAGTAATATATTTAAATACTAAACTATACTAACAATAATAAAGTTTATTACATTAGTTATATTACAGTACTTCACATTTGTTATCAAAATCGTGACTTAGTAAAAACAAATAAACCAATAAAAGGATTTAGCGCAGCTGCAAAGCCGCAAAATTGTTTGTCTATAGGTAGCCTTCTATAGACAAACAATTATAGGTATAGATTTGTTAATCTATATCTATAATGCTTAGTATATGTTAAAGTAAACAATGAATACACTAAATGTTAATTTTTTTTTAGACCAATAGTGAAATACAAAAAATAAGAAATACGAGGGGCGGCTGATAAGTTCACGGCCTAAGGTAGTAACAAAATTTTCCACATTTTTGATGTTTTCTTCGGTCAAGACCGTTACAAGGCGACCCGGACGGGGATCGTCTTCATACGTCTCTTTGCCTTGTTAAAATAACCAAGCCCATTTTTTAACCATTGTGTATGAAGGTGCAGAATCCTGAAGAAATGATGACATCTCTTCAAAAATTTCTTTGGGTGTTTTTCCTTTTTTAACGAGGAACTTAAAACCACGGCGCAACGCTCCAAATTGCGCGAATTTTCAGTACACCCGAGGGAAGAAGGGTTCTGTTGACTTGGTATTGTTGCTTGTTTCATAGGTAAAGTATTTATGAACAAAAATGAAAAATACTCTCTATGTATACTAACAATGATTCCCTCTATCAGTTGGAATCATTAGCGAGATGATTAGTCATCGTTAAATAGCCTAGGCCGCGAACTTATCAGCCGCCCCTCGTATGTACTTAAAAATAAGGTCAATTAAAGTTTTTCTCACAATTACAATATTCAGTATTACAACACCAAAGTATTAACATATTATTGTTCTGTTTATCCACAAGTCTAATTTATACAATATAATGCTTATATAATCTAATTTTACTAGTAAAAGAACAATACTTCATAGCATCTCATAGTTTCTTACTACCAAGTATCAACTTCGTAGCATTAGATTTAAATGTTACCTTCATTAAGCTGAATAGATCGATTTCACTAAAACTTATGATCGACTTTCAACCACTGAGCGACCGCTATGCAATAGATATGTACCAATCTACAAATACAGAGCAGTGAGAGTGACATTCAGTCGGTAGATACAAAGGAAGCCAAACAATTGCAACGAACAGACATAATCCGCATTGACATGTCGATTATGACCATCGCCTACTGACCTGACATAATAACCTTAAATTGTAATTGAATAACTTTTTTATAGAATAGGGGACAAAGTTTGGAGAGCTTGCGGCACGCCTGATGGTTATTACCGACAGGGGAACTGCAAGCGCGTTGCCGGCATTTTGAAAAGGAATAAACTATTTTCTTAAAGGTTTGAATACCGTATCGGTTCGGAATATGAATGTGGATGGTTATAAGGGCAGAGAAAGGCTGAAAAAGAGGTGGATGGACTATGTGAAAATATGGCATAAAAGGGAGTAAATAACGAGATGATTGCGAACAGAGATGAATGGCAAAGAAAAACATATTACGCCGCCCCCAAATGATGGGATAAGAAAGAAGCAGATGATAATCCGTCAGGAAATTCCTTTGCTGGAAGGTGACTATGCGTGGCAAAAAAGTTCTAGAAAAACACAAGAGGACCGACATTCATCCGGATGATCAAGATGGTATTTTAGTTTCTGTCGGGTAGTACGATGGTGAAATTCAGCAGCTGGTAGCTTATAAACGTAAAACTATATAATACTAGCTACTCGTCCCGTCTTCGCACGTGTGTACATTTATTATATAGAAAAGCCTTCCTCTGGAATCACTCTACCTATTAAAAAAACCGCTTCAAAATCCGTTGCATAGTTTTTAAAATTTAAGCATATATAGGGACAGACAGCGACAGCGATTTTATTTTATACTATATCATTATATAGTATAAAATAAAGTCGCTGTCGCTGATGATGATGGATACTTTTCTTACCAAAGTAAATATAGGTAGGTACAACATCAGTTACGTGGGTACCTCGTTTCCACTTATTTCTGTCATCAAGCAGTTTGCTTTGATTCTATTAAAATAAAATTAATCAGTAGACGGTAGCCTCGGTAGTCTAGGGGTTTAGCACACCCCCTTACATCTAATGGTCGCGAGGCCATTTGTTCAGTAAAAATTTTTTCTATTCTCTAGATTTGAACTCGAAAAATTTTGTGTCGAATAAGAGCTCCTATACCATGTCGCACTCTAATATATTACTAAAATTAATAAATTGATTACAAAAAATTAAACTTACAGGTATCGTACGCTTGAGGCTGACCTGACGCCACTCCTGCGCCACACCACCCCACCTGGTCTTATATAGCGACTGTTCTAAACCCCCTTTATCCAATTAAATGGGGGTGGCCACTGGACAATACCCGTTTCTAAGCGGTTTTTCGTTGATTCTTATTCTCATTATTATATTTGACAAGTACTAACCTAATGTTAGTAGTTTGTATTCGTTTCATTTCAACTTAAATATGTAAAGTAACAACAAAATTATTTAAAAGAGCAACACGCAAGTTTCTTGCTCATTCTTCAGGTGATGAGACAGATTTCCGAATTAGCGGAAAATTGAAAAAAAGATGTGTCATCACATATTTTTATTCATAAATGCATTTTTGAATAAAAATATTTGAATATCGTGGAATATATACCTATTGTATATATAATAGAGGACATATATATATAATAATAAATAAAATAAACATAACGTCGTAAATTTTCATAGCGTCAAAAGATTCTCGAGTTTATGGACTGTTTTATGGGACTGATAATACCGTAAACAGTCAGTTAGGGTTTTATTGTTTGACCTTTTCCCGCAAATATAAATGAAAAAAGACAAAAAAGTAGCGATTGAAAACTAACTGAGTACCAATTCCAACATGCGTATGTAAATGAACTGCGTTCTAGTCTAAGGGCTTTTGAACCCTTGGTATAACCACAGATAATATAATGGTCTTTCTGTAAATGAAAAAACATTTAATGATGAATCATACCATGTTTCCTCACGAAAAATAGTGACTACTAGTAGGAATCAGCCCTGTGCGTCATAAGTACTTACAAATATTTAATAAAGTATAAATAAAAACATTGGTGACACATTACACAACATCAACAATTAGGTATTTCGTTAAGCACAAGTGAAATTCACAATGTTGTAGTCAGTGAAACAACTGTTTATTATTTTAACCACATAACAATTAATGTACTTAATAATACTATAATTTAGATTTTACAGCGATAAGTTATTTTACTTATTTTTATGTAAAATATATAAAAGTACGTAAAATAACTAGCTACTCGTCCCTGCTTCTCCCGGGTGTATTATACATCTATTAAAAAAAACACTTCAAAATCCGTTGCATAGTTTTAAAGATTTAAGCGTACATAGGGACGGACTGACAGCGACAGCGACTTTGTTTTATACTATGTAATGATGATATATAAAATTCTCGCGTCACAATGTTAGTTACCAGATTATTATGTAATTTTATATGCATATTTAGTAGGTCTGAGAATCGGCTACTATCTATTTTTTATATCCCTAAGTGATAAGGATTGTCCATCCCTAACATTTTACTTAATTTTTTGGACAATTTATAGCGATATTAGTACTTCAATTTATATGGTAAAACAACGTTTGCCGGGTCAGCTAGTATGTATCTATATAAAGTATATATAAGTAGGTAACTATAGCAACGTCGTTTCGGCAATGTTTTTGTAATTAGAAATAAGTTTTGTTTATGCAATTGAAATGGCAAAGCAGCTGTAGACCCACCTGATGGAAGAGATAACATTCTTATATACATGATTCAGGACCAACATTACGAACGTCACACTGTTTTTTTAATGGATGACGATGGAATAATGCGCTCGTCTACACTAACACTACGCTAGCTCATCGTGACAAATTCATATTCAATTCAATGAGTCCAGGGGAACCGCTTCAAGATCAACCTAAGTATATCACTAACAATCGGGTTAGTAGTCCACATCACTAACAATCCCTTTACTCCCTCACAAAATATATTGTGACAAGGGTCACCAACTTTTTTTAGCATGGACAAACGATCAAGAACCTTGCAGATACAGAAATTCTCTTTTCATCAATAAACTTCAGTGCATTTTTTATTCAAGACTATACTTAGCGTTTTCCACGTTTTTTAACTAGGCCCCTCACTGCACACTGCAAACTGAATAAG